AGTGGTTCTCAACCTGTGGGTCGCGACCCCTTTGGCGGTCGAACGACCCTTTCACAGGGGTCGCCTAAGACCATCCTGCATATCAGATATTTACATTATGATTCATAACAGTAGCAACATTGCAGTTATGAAGTAGCAACGAAAATAATTTTATGGTTGGGGGTCACCACAACATGAGGAACTGTATTTAAAGGGCCAGAAGGTTGAGAACCACTGCTTTAAAGGGAGCTGAAAGGGGCCAGCGGTGTCGGGAGCAGTCCTGTGTGTGCATGGGATGGGGCTACGCACCCTGGGCCTGCTATTGCACAGCCTGGCCAGGCGGCCCCCAACCAGTGCTGTCTGCCTCTTAATACCTCCTGTGGGCTAATTAAAGTGTGGCTGCTGGCTGCTGAGCCCAAACTCCACAGCACTTCAGGGGGTGGGATGAGCTAAGCATCCGCTGGGGAGTTGAGAAGCAGCAGCCCCCAGGTAGAGCCCCTCCCGGCTGGCGGGCCTAGGCCAGCAGCCAGAGGTCCTGCATCCCCTCCGAGAGCCCCTCCCAACCAGACCAGACTCCAGGGCGGCCCGGAAGGTTGCTTCATGAGCCCCTGCTTTTGTCAGCTCAGACCACCTGCCCACGGACTGCGCTGCATGTGCGGAGGGAGCGTGTGTGCGAGTGAGAGCAGAAGGGCTCACCCTGGGGAGGCCAGAGGGGGCAGCTCCCGAGGTGGCCTGTGGGTCAGGAGGCAGACGGGCTGAGGCTGGCTTCCCCGGGGCGGGTCCTGCCACCGACCAAACCCCACGCCTGGTTAGCAGCCCCCGTGTGGCTGGTTTGGCTAAGGCCACACACGCCTAGGGACTGAGCTGGCCATGCTGGGCCCGAGGGGAGGCAGCCAACACGGTGTGGGGTCTGGGGTCGTACTCCCTGAGCTGCCCATTAACAGGTAATGAGCAGGTGGCCAGCAGCCTCTCCCCCAGCCCCTGCGCTCCCGCATGTCCCCGTCTTTCAGGAGCAGGCCCTCACTCGACTACTGGCTGCGCCCAGGCTGGGCCGGCAGGAGCTCGGCCGCACGGACTTGGCGGCTCAGAGAGGAATCAAGACCCTGAGCCTCCGGTCACTCGGACCCTGGGGTGGTGCCCGGGGCCTCTGCTGACCGCAGGGGCTGGGGCGCAGTGGTTGGGCCGGGACTGCAATGCCACTTCCCGCGCTCGTTTCAGTGAAGTGTGTTTGCAGTTAAAGCCCAAGCAGTGCGGCTGCCCTCGGATGCGATGTGCGCCCAAGTGCGCCAGCGACCTCGTGGGCTAGGAGGCCGCCTCCCGACACCCGCTCCTTCTCCTGGGACTCGTCACCACACACAGTACACATTCTCCTTATGCACCTTCCCCACGTCCTCCTCAGAACTGACGCCCAGCAGGCCCCCTCCCTGCGCCTCGCCCCTCGCCGCGACCCGGACAGTGCGGCAGGCAGCCGGCGCCAACCAACGCTTGCTGAGTGAACGCACGCCAGCCTCCGCCACAGGCCCTGCCAGCAGTCATGTTCTCCGTTTTATGTGGAAGGTGGCCCTGGTGTCAAGTGTGACAAGCCTGCCGTCCATCCCATGCAGCCCGTGCCCTGAAACTTTGCTTTCAACTGCACGCAAGCACATGTGCGTACGGGTGGAAGCCGGACCATCCTGTTTTAGGTAATGAGTGTGTCTGACTGTGGGTCATAGTCAGACGTGTGGAAAACAGTCTCCTCCTCCTGGCCAGTGAGGCCTCAGGGACAGTAAGTCACCAGTTCTGGGCAGCGGGGCCTCGGGGAGTGGCCAGTGAGGCCGCAGGGACAGTAAGTCACCAGTTCTGGGCAGCGGGGCCTCGGGGAGTGGCCAGTGAGGCCTCAGGGACAGTAAGTCACCAGTTCTGGGCAGCGGGGCCTCGGGGAGTGGCCAGTGAGGCCTCAGGGACAGTAAGTCACCAGTTCTGGGCAGCGGGGCCTCGGGGAGTGGCCAGTGAGGCCTCAGGGACAGTAAGTCATCAGTTCTGGGCAGCGGGGCCTCGGGGAGTGGCCAGTGAGGCCTCAGGGACAGTAAGTCACCAGTTCTGGGCAGCGGGGCCTCGGGGAGTGGCCAGTGAGGCCGCAGGGACAGTAAGTCACCAGTTCTGGGCAGCGGGGCCTCGGGGAGTGGCCAGTGAGGCCGCAGGGACAGTAAGTCACCAGTTCTGGGCAGCGGGGCCTCGGGGAGTGGCCACTGGCAGCTTCAGGGAAGGTTTTTCCTTGCTCGTGAGATCAGGAAGCCCCTCCCCTGCTGGCTGGGATGAGGCAGACGCTACTGCTGGCCAGCATCCTGTGACCGTGAGGAACTCCAGCCGACAGCATTCACGGAGGGCAAGACCAGAGAATCCAACTTCCCTGCCTGAGCCCCTGGAGCAGGGGCGGTCCTAGCACAGGAGAGGGACGTGCTCCTACACTGTCCGAGTGTTCTCCCACAAATGCCGAGCGCTGGAGGAGCGGGCGCTGGAGCGGGGGCGTGGACGGTGCCTGCACCTGGGATCCTGGCCGCTGACAAGAGGCACTGAGTGGGGCAGACCCTGGACTCACCGGCTCTGCGGAGGGATGAGTGTGTCGCGCACGTGCAGGATGCCCACGTACGGGTAGCGCTCCATGTCCTGCTCCCAGTCCACGTAGTGGTCCTGGACCACATCTGCAGGACAGAGGGCACAGGTTAGGGCCAGGACTCCTGGCGGAGGCCGGCAGCCTTCCCCCGGGCCACACACCTATAATCTTCTTCACCATCTCATACATGGCCTGCTCCTCCTCTTCTAACTTGCGCCACCGATATTTCAGGAAGATCAGGAGTCCCCACAAAAAGGCCAAGCCTGCGCAGGAACAGAGCACCATTAAAGGCTCACATCGCTCCAACCGCTCAGACCTCCCTGGGTCTCACCATGGGCCGGGCGCTGCGTGGAGGCTGTGGGTGATACAATGTGTTCTGAGTACCTACTATGTGGCGGGCCCAGGGCTAGCATGCGGGAAACAAAGGATGCAGGAATGCAAAGGGAGGACAGGCTAGTCAGTGAGCCTCTCCCTCCCTGCCAGCTGTCACTCAGGCCCCTCCACCGTCTAGAACGCGGCTCCTCCCAACCTCCCAGCCTTAGTCCAGGGCTTTTATCTCCTCCCTGGTGAACCAGAACCCGGGCTTGCTTTCTCTCTCTCTCTCTCTCTCTCTCTCTCTCTCTCTCTCTCTCTCTCTCTCTCACACACACACACACACACACACACACACACACACGCCGTGCACGCCCAGGTGCCTGGGATTTGTAACATGGCTCTCTGGGCAGAGCCAGTGGTTCTGCGACTCGGCCTCTGCTCAGAGGCTCATAGGCCTGAGCTCTGCTTGAGGCTCACAGGCTGGGGCCTTGCTGCTTCCCAGGAGAGGTTTACATTGCTCAGGGAGTAAAACTAGGCCAAGCTCCTGCTGCGCCCTCCTCGCAGCGGCCTGCACCCTGGGGTCCTGGAAGGGACAACGCCCACCTCCGGCCGGGGCAGCCTCCCTCTCAGGAACAGGGACACTTTCTGGTTAGCCTCATGCTCTGGCTCCGATCCCCAGGGGAAGATGACCAGGCAGAGGCTGACTTGCTCACGCCCTCCGTCTTATTAGACAGACCTCAGGCGCACGAGAGACACAGACACTCAGGGGCCGCTTCCCGTCACTCGTCACTCCCCGCCAGGGCTGTCGGAGCTGGGCTGGGGCGGCGCTGTGTGCGGGCACTTACACCAGAAGAAGATGAGCACGTGGGTGACGGCGGTGAGCAGGGCCCGGCTCAGGCGGCAGCCCACACCCATGCGGGGGCGGGCGGATTCCAAGCAGACCACCTTGTCCACGGTTGTCACCAATTCAGATGGGTCTTCCCCTTTCAAACTGAAACAGGACACGGGTTGTAAACGCGTCCAAGAGCTCTGAGGAGCTGCAGTCTATGCCCCACTTTAAGCAGGAGGAGGAAGAGGGGCTGCGAGGCCTCTCCTTGCTGTGAGACAGACATATCCTGGCTGCACTCTTCCCGGAAATCCCCCGCGCTGGCTACTTAGGAGGAATAAAGCTGTCAAGAGGCAGCAGGCTCGAACCCCAGCCACTAAAGTGGCTTCTCCTGTTGGGCCTTTGACAGCCCCCTCGGCATGCGGAGGATTAACTATAAACTGGATCCCCTCCCAGCAGAGAGCAGTGGAAATGTTTACTGAGTCGCCGTCTTGCCCTGCAAGGTAGAAACGGAAAGACGTGTGTCTGGGAGAGCGTGCCTTTCCTCGGGGTCGAGGAGGCACAGAAGCTGCTTAAGGAAGAGATCAGGAGGTGCCCAGAGGCCAGGCCCCAGCGCAGCGCCTCCGCCCTGGTTCCTGCAAGAAGGTGCCAGGACCCGCGGGACACCGACAGCCACACCTCTAGGTGGCGAGCCATGCGCTGGACTCACACCTGAGTGGCTGGTACCTGAAGTGTCCCGGTTTCTTGTGACCCACTTTTCACCCTGGTCCTCTGAGCCAGCTCAGCCACCTCCCCCACATGAAGAGGCCAGTGTCACGGCTCGGTGCCTCCAGTCCCCGCCTTTTCTAACAAGAATCGCCAGCTGCTCAGGGAGGCTTTGTTTTGTAAGCCAGCGCATTTCAGTGGGGCCTGCATCCAGCTCGCAGGCTCAGGCCGAGCTGCCCGGCTCCCCTGGGTGCACAGCTGAGGGAATTCGTAATTTGGTGGATCAGAGAGGAAGAGAACAAAACCCAAGTATGTTTTAGCATCAGGAGCTGTAACCTCAACAGAGCCCCTGACGAACCCTGAGCAACGGGATCGGGGTGATGAGGTGAATGCTTCTCTGGCAAGGAGACTCCAGGTGTCCAGCCGTCAGCCAGTGCCCCACCCTCGCCCGTTCCCTGGGGCCTTTCAGGAAGGCGAAAGGCTCGCTGTCTGCTAAGGGTGCTCACCAGAGAGCAATGAGGCGCAACTACCCAGTCAGAATAAAATCCAGCATTTCCTTGTGCAACTGCCATACTGAGTGAAACCAACACAGAATCATTTCATCTGCAAATGAAAACTAGCCCCGAGGAAAGGCGCGTAGAAAGCTGCCTTCGCCAGAAAACCGCGCAGAGCCGGACGGCAAGGCGCAGACCTGGCACCTGCTCTGTGTCTGCCCTGGAACTGCTCCTTGCCCTCATTCCCGCCGCTCTTCCTTCTCCACCAGCTTTCAGCCCAGCCCACACCACAGGCAGACCCACCCTCCACCTTCAGGGGCACCTGCGGGAAGCTAGGAAGTCGGCTGATGGGCGCCCCACCACACTCACCAGATGCCCACGTCCTTGTTGCTGCTTAGTATCCAGGTCAGTGCGGCTTCAAACTTGGCGGTGGAGCTGCTGGTCACATTCTGTGGGAGGGGCGGGAGATTAGCTCTGGTCTGGGCAGAGCAGCTAGGCAGCATCACTCTGCTGCTGGGTTACAGAAGTCCTCTCCTGGGTCCTCTGCACGTCTCACAGCCCTGCTCTGCTCAACGCGCAGCAAACTGGCAGGAGGGAAGTCTGAGGCTGGTGAGAGCCGAGGCAGGGGCTGTAATGGGAGGGGGCGATGCGGAAGCACACGCGGGAAAGCAATGCGAGGCGGAGGCAGCCGAAAAGACTGAAGCCAGCCAGGTGGCAGCTCCTCTTGGGTAAAATGAAAAAGTGGGGGGGGTGAAGGGGGCCCAGCAAACATTGGCCTGGGGGCAAAGCCCCTGCCCCTTCCCCTGGGCCTCAGGTGTCTTCCCCTGTGAAGCGAAAAACTGGACTAAGGTGACCATGTCCCTGCCAGCTCCATATTATCCCCAATTCTACCTTCTACCATCTTGAGGCCATGCGGAAAGTCAAACGGACCCCCAGACAATCCCCACAGCACACAAGGGGGGAGAAGGGCAGGCGACACATGCATCCTTAAAGCTGCTGAGAAGGGGAGAAAAGAAACGAACAGAGGGAGGAGCAAGTGACAGGCCAGTTTAGAAGGGGCAGCTGCTGTGGCCTGTACGCTGGGCAGCAGGGAGCCACACACACACAGCAGGCCTGCTCCGGCTCACGGCTCACCTTGGGCCCAGTCACCCCCCAGTGTTGCCTTAACTTAAGATAGCCTAGCACTCAACTAAGGCAAAAAAAAAAAAAGGGAGGGAGGGCAAGAAAGAAAACAAAAACAAAACCACACACACACAAAAACCAAACCAAAACAAACACCAAACAAAATAAAAAGGGGAAGAAAAGTAAATGCAGGGTCTGAAAATCAACCCCAAAGCACCAGGCCCTCCCGGCGGTGGGCGCCACCCTACTTACTGCTACGTATTCCTGGGCTTCTGCTACAGGGATGCACTTGCTTTTTAGCTTATCTGGATTCCCACATTCAAAGTTCCCTAGGAGGAAAAACATTCAAACACAAGGAAGATGAAAAGATGACTCTGAAACAGACGACAAAATGCAGCAAGAACCAAGCCCTCCGCTCGGAGAGGGAGCATGCGGCCTGGCGCTCCGGCTTCTGGGGCATCCTCACTCTGCAGCACGATCAAAAGCCACTTAGCTTGGATCGATTCCAGATCATTAAAACCTGACCTGCAAAGCAGTGCGGTGATTTGCATTAAATGACTAAAAAGCTGCCCAATACCAGGTCTGTTTGCAATTGATCCCTAACAGGATCAGACAGATAGCTTTGGAAGGTACCGGATGGCGCTGTGAACACACACAGCCTGGGAGGGAGAAAGGCAGGGATTCTGACAGATACAGGCCGGTGACCTGGAATGCCAGGCCCACTGTGTGAGGGGTCGTGGGACGATGCCCGGCATGCCCCGTGGAGGAAGGGGGCGTCTGCGGCTGGACAGCGGGGCCTCAGCAGGGCTCCAAAGCTCCCTTCTAAGTAGCCTGGGTGGCCAGCTCCCGCCTCGGACGGAGCTGGGAGCCTCCCCCGAGTCCTGCCAGCCTTTTGGGTCCCACCCAAAGGCCACCTCCTCTGAAAAGCCCCCAGCCTGCGGGGGCCTCTTGTTCGGCCAGATTGCTCCGAACTCGGGGGCCTGCCACACCTCTTGGCTTTCAATGCCCGCTGTGGTTTACCTGCTGTGAGCCGCTTCACCACTAGAGCCCTTGAGCAGGGACAACGCAGGGCTGGGCACGTAAAGATCCTTCACTCTCCACATAGTGCAATTGTCCTTCACCTGGCACAGCTGGGCTTCAAATGGCCAGCGTGTGTGCGTGTGTGTGTGTGTGTGTGTGTGTGTGTGCGCGCGCGCGCGCGCGCGCTCGCGAGTGGCTGAAGGTAGTATTAAAAATCTTAAAAATGAACTGAAGCCCGTCCTTCCTACTTCAAAGTTGATCTTGACCCTCTGGGTCGTCTGGGACCAAGCTGGCTTCTCCCATCCTCCTGCCTCCACTCAGGCCACCCTCCCTGCCCAGGCCTGTCTGGACCATCGCCAGGCCCCGACTGGTTTCCTCCGCCTCCCTTCTCATTCACATGTTTTAAAGCTTTAAAATAAGACGACTCCACTTAAGCTGCTGCCACTTTTGCCTGCTCTTGGCATGTCACTTCCCTACGCAAAAGCCTCCTGGGCCTCACTGCCCACAACATTAAGGCCCAGTGGCCTGGCATCTGTGGGACCCAACTGACCTTTCCAAATTCCATTCCCTGTTTCTCCTTCCCTCATGAAGCCGTTTCCATCCTGACCCTGTAATCTCCTGCCCTGTTGGCCCCACCTCCCCCCACACATACAAAACCCATCCTATTGGACTTCAGGGCCTCCCATGACCCTTTCCTGGCTGTTCCAGCTAAAAGGCATCGTGCCTCTCGGGACCTCTGGCCCTCAGCTCTCCTCCAATGGCATCCTATATCACCCAGTGGTCAGGGAAGTAGGTGGCCTGCGGCAGGCCCCTGAACCCATCTTGCATCCTACAGTACCCTGGCCAGAGCGGACTCCAACAGGGGGGAAGGGAGGATGGCCCAGCAGAGAGCACACACTCCCCAGCAGCTGCCTCCATGAGATGCACGCCCGCAGGGCTGCCCCTGCAAGGCTTGTCAGAGGACAACGGGAGCCAGGCCCCCTGATGGCATAATGAGGACCACATGTGGAGATGGGAGGGGGAGAAATGGCTACTAGGATTCACCGTTTAAGAGCGGAGCATCTCAACTTTATCCCCTGGGGTCTTATTAAAACGCAGGCTTTGATTCAGTAGGTTTGGGATGGGACCCGAGATTCTGCATTTCCAATAAGCTCCCAGCTGCTGCTGCTGCTGCTGCTGCTTGGACCACAATCGAGTCACAAACGTTTAGAATTCCCTCGTAGGCCAGAATGTATATCCCAAGCACCTGGGCCACAGGGAAATGCCCATAGGACCGCTCCTCCCAGGAGCGCAGACGCTCCCCGACCACCCCCAGTCTCCCACCAGTAGGAGGGAGGAGGTGGCAGAGCTGAGGCCCACAAGGTTGGCCCTGAGGACTGAGGGCCCAGTCCACCCAAACCTGTCTCCCCAGCAATGGCCAAAGGTTGTCCCGTAGGTAAGAGGTGCCTCCTGAACATCCCATAAGACTGACCAGCTCCAGCTGGCTCTTGTGCCAAGTATATTTAACTCGGCACCAGCCCATTCGCCTATGCCAGTGGTCGGCAAACTGCGGCTCGTGAGCCACACTCAAGGGGCCAAAGAGTCGCATGTGGCTCGCGAGCCGCAGTTTGCTGACCACTGGCCTATGCCATCAGCAAGTGATTCTGAGCCTCCCTAGACGCCAGGTGTGGGAAGGACACAATGCAGGCGACATCTCTAGCCTTGAGGACTGTTTACCAAATAAAACAGCAGGGGAGCCTGGATGGATGAGTGTTCAGGGTCTTTCCCAGGGTGCCGAGAGTGCTCCTCTGGAGGACAGCACTTGGCTTTTATGTTATAAAGAGAAGAGAGCCCTGGCCGATGTGGCTCAGCTGGCTGAGTGCTGTCCCGTGCACTGAGAGGTCACCAGTTCGAGTCCCAGTCAGTACACATGCCTGGGTTGTGGGCTCGATCCCTAGTAGGGGGCGTGCAGGCAGCAGCCGATCCATGTTTCTCTCTCATCAATATTTGTATCTCTCTCCCTCTAACTTCCTTTCTCTCTAAAATCAATTACCCCCCACCCCACCACATTTAAAAATAGAAAAGAGAGACCCAAAATCACTCAGTAACAGGGAGATGGAGGCCCCGAGACGACCTGAGACTAAAAGGGACTTGTCCAAGGTCCTGAGCCAGCTAGGGCGACCGGGACCAGATGTGACACCAGGGCCTTGACAGCTGGACGGGCCTGAGTGTGCTCAGCCCACCACGGACCCGTCACCTGCACGGGCCTCTCCGCCTACCCCGGCCAACCACCTGGTGCAGGCAGGCCTCCAGGTGCAAGCACCCAGACTCTGAGACCCAGGGCCTGTCCCCTCACCCTGCCAGTGAAACAGGGAGCCCCGAAGCCTGAGGTGGGGCTTATCGAGAGAAAGGCCTGTGCATGTTCCAGGAGCCCTGAGACCCTCGAAGGGAGGTGAGAACCAAATGGTTTTGCCCAAATGCAAGGCTTAAACAAATGTCAGAGGGGAAGCAGGGACTGGTTTCTGAGTGTCTTCTGGGCCGAGACCACAGGACGCCTCAGCCGCCCCGCCATCGGCCCACGAGTGGCTCGTGAGGATCCGGGGCCTGGAGCCCTACTCACCGGCTTGGATGGCCAGGAAGTTGTAGAGTTCGTGCAGCAGCTCCAGCAAGGCCGCCTTCTGCTTGGCCTGACAGAACTGAGAGGACAGGACAAGCGGTCAGCAGGGCGGTGGGCAAGGAGGCAGCCATGCTGTCAAGTACTAAGCAGTAAGCAACACCTCATACTTTTAAAAACTAAAAACCAATTCTGCAAAATGGTGGTCCCAGGGACAGGGCCGATACATGTGGGGCTGAGTGAGTGCAGGGCAGAGTGAAGGCACAGTCACTAAGGGCTGCCATCCTGGAGGCCCCCACCCTTCCCCGGTGCCGATGGAGTAACGGCCACTAGTGGGGCCGAGGAGCAGAGGCAAGGCGGCTGTGGGAAATGAGCGCTGCAGTCCCGGAAAGCTACCCACGCTGCGTCCTCTCCCCCTGGGGCCACTCCCACCCGTGGTGGAGATTCAAGTGTCTACAATCTGCCCATCGATTGTCTGTCTTGTGGAGTATCTGCTGCAAAAAGTAAAATCCCTAGAAACCTTTGAAATCATAGGGGAGAAAAGCCATCTGCATGAGAAAATGGGAGCAGGAACACATGCAGACCTAGCCCTCCAGCCCCTGTAACATTGAGGCCATCTTGCTAGACTCATGGTTGCTCTCCTCAATGGACCGAGAGCCAGGTGCTGTGCAGAATGGTATTATGTGAGTGCGCACTGAATTGTCACCACACTCCTTACTGTACCCCAATTTCTCAGATGGGGAGCCTGAGGCTCAGAGACCTTAGGTAAGCCACCAAGGTCCCACAGCTCAAGAGAGGTGGGGTCAGGCCAGCAGTCACCACGCCCCACACTTCAGGCCGCCTCTGGTGTCGCTGGGCAAAGCCCTGGACTTTGAGCCAAGAGCCTGGGGCCTGGCCCTGCACCTACAGAAGGAACTGACGTGGCTTTCCTCCCAGCCTCATCAGCTGCCTCACCCGAATGGGAGGGACCTGGTGTCCAACACTCTCAGAGGCAACATGTGTCCCGTCACGCTGCCTAAAGACCCAAGAGCCTCTGCAGTACACACGACTGCAAATGGTCAGAAACAATTCATGTGGCTTCTAGTGGAGTTAGGTACCCAAACTACTTTAAAGAGCGTTTTAGGTGTGGGAAATGGTGAGATAAGGGTTAAAGCTAACTAAATATACGCCAAGAATCCAAGTCTATAGACGCACATACAGAGATAAGAAGGGAAGGAAAGATCCCCAAACGTTAACAGTAATTATCTCTAGGTGGCAGAGTCATGGGTGACTTTCCTTTTCAAACGTTCTACACTAACATCTTTTACTGTCACTCCAGGAAACCGGCAGTAACAAGGACCACTGCTACATGTCCCCAACATCCAGGCGAGCAGGCTGATGCCACTGAAAGGAAACAGGACACAAGGTCCCAGCCAACAGGACAGCTGATATGACAACACGCCTGCTCTCAGCCTGTGCCCATGTTTTCAGTAGCAAAAAGGCAGAAAGAAAATACAGTGTCAAGTCTGCTGAGAAGGGAAAGAAAACACAAATGCCCTGCTGGGTCCTGGGTGAGCCGGAGCCACACAAAGAATGAGACTTTCAGCAAGAGCCTCAGCAAAGCCGACGTGCCTCCCAACCTGCCTGTTCCCAGGCAGGCCAAGGGCACCCCATGAACTCTCAGCTCCACGGAGCCCAGGCTGGGGGCCCAGACGCTGGCCTTCCAGGCGCCAATGTTCCCGGCACAGTTGGCTGGCTGGGCACACCTTTAGCAAGGCCCTGGGTTGCACCTGTCTGCTCAGAGGAGGGCCAGGGAACGAAGGGAACGAATCTGTCCCTCAGCCGCAGGCCTGATCCATTTAGAGACGTGAAGGGTCAAGAAACAGAAGCCAGGGAGATGTTTCTAATTAAAAGACAACAAATGAGCATCACCAGAGAAGTCTCACAGAAAGCTCCTGTTTTCCTATTTCGGTTTTCAGTCTTCAAAATTCTAGTCCCTCCTTTAGCTGCCGCCTACGTTTCTGGGCTCCTTTCTCTAGTCATCAGTCGTGGTTTTTATGATGGAAGATGAAACTTATTATGAATATGTTTCTACAAAACAACTGGGAAGCAAAGATATTTGGTGGATGAATGCAATAAATGAACGCCAAAAAAACCCCAAACTTCAAATACGACACAGCAGAAGCCAAGAGAAACCAGGATGCCCTCAGAACGTGGGTAAGCGTCAGCGCAGGGGCATGGGGGGGGGGGGGAGGGGCAGATGTGAGCGGAGTGGGAGTCCTGCTGCAGGCTTAGTTAGGAGACTGCTCCTCCGGCTGGGACTTAGGGCTTTCCCCAGACGGCCACCTCTCAGCACCCACTCCTCACGCACGCTCCCTTCACAGTGGACGGGCTGCTCACCGTCCCCCAATACTATGTAGGGAACATTAAGGCTTCATAAAACGAATCTATAGACTAAGAGGGCCAATTCCACTACAAATGTGTTCCAAACACCCCCTCCCCACAACGTCTCAAATCAGAAGGGCATTTTCAGAGCCACCAAAACACTCCTGGAGGGAAGGGGAAATGACAACACGGCCTTCTGTCGGTTAGGAACCTCCGGCCCTTCCCCCAAGGCAGGCAGCACAGGCCCTTCACCGCCGGCTGCGTCCCCCTGGATGGACTGCGCAGGGGACCCACGTCCCAGGTGCTACGAACAGAGCGGGGCCCGCACCCAGACAGGTGTCGACATCACGCCAGGGCTCCCGAAAGGACAGCAGACGTGCTGGGGAGGAACGACAGAGAAACACACTCACCTCATCGTTTTTCCTCTCGCAGTCCACTGGCAACAATTTCACTGAGACCAGAAAGAAACAGAAAATTAAAGTGTGGCTGCGGAAGAGTACCAACAGGACCCTCTCAAAATCCAGGGAGTGAACCGCGGCCAGCCTGGGGGTGGGGGTGGGAAAGCTGTGGGCTGACGGATGCACTCTAACGGGATGCACTCTAACGTGCAGGCAGCAAAATGCAAGCTTCCCAGCCCGGGACTGGGAACGACAGCGGGTCTGATGGGCTCCGGACGACTGGACCCCACTCCTCAGCGGGAGCAGGATCCATGGAGCTGTCCTGGCCTGACTCGGGGAGGGACCTCAAACCAGGCAACGTCCGTGACAGTTTATAAACTGTGAGCGATGACACGTTGAACAGGGACGAGCACCATCAGGGGAGGGGAACTCCGGGAACCCAGGATGTGGCCAGCGCTGGCTGCCGTCCCAGCAGGAAGTTTGCGCCCGGCCTGCGGGTCGCCGCGGGGGACAGTCAGGAATTGAGCGCGTGCCCAGTCCGGGGTCCCCTGGGGTCCCCGTGCCCACGGCCGTGTCCACACCCACGCGGAAAGGTGTGGCCTCGGACAGCCCCGGGGCAGCCCCGCTTGGCAAAGAACAGCCCCTGCGGTGAAAGTGTCACTTTATATCGGCTCCGGCAGACGCGCGCTCTGCGCTGTCCTGTCCAGTCGGGCAGCTCAGGGCCAGCGGCGCCTGTGCCTCCAGGGCGCTCCCCTCCCGACCCGGGCGCCCCGCCTGCAGACCTCGCGGCCGGCTCACCGCGCCCAGCAGGAGGGAGCGTGACTGGGGGGTCCCTGAACCTCAGGACCCTCCTGACACTCCGAAGGCCTGCGGC